TGGGGCAGGAAGGTGGGGGGTAGGGAAGCCCTGGGGCAGGGACTGTGGGGGAAGGGGAGCCCTGGGGTAGGGACATGGGAGGAGGGGGAAGAGAGTCCTGGGGTAGGGATGGGGGAGGAGGGGAGCCATGAGGCAGGAATGTGGGAGAAGGAGAGCTCTGGGGCAGGGACATAGGGAGTGGGAAGCCCTGGGGCAAGAATGTGGGGGAAAGGGAACCCTTGGGCAGGGACAGGGGAGGAGAGCCCCAGGGCAGGAATGTGGTGGGAGGAGATCCCTGGGGCAAGGGGAGCCCTAGGAGCAGGGGATGAGGGAACATGGATGCCCCTGCCCAGCCTGACAGCTCTGGGCACAGCTACCGTGGTGTGCGGGCTGCAGAAGCCCAGGCCTGAACTGGCGGGCACAGCGCCTGGGGTGCGTCCAGCCCCTCTTCCCTGCACCAGGGCTTCTGCCCATGAGGCCAGGGGTCCCACTGGACGTCTTGGCCGGTGCTCTGCCCATGAGGAACCTGGGGGGCAGCCAGATTGCCTCTTTCTGACCAGGTGGCCTCGACGGTGTCCAGGGATTTCCCTGCTCTGTTGTGCCCTCCAGGCCCTAGGATGCTCTACCCAAAGTCTGGAGCTTGCCCTGAACCTTTAGGGACAGAGACTTTCAGCCCCCAACTCCCACAACCAGGGTACTCACAGAGTCACACAGAGAAGGGGCAGGGTGGCCCGTCTGGGGCCTCACCCACTGGAGGGGCGCCCAACACATGGGACTGAGTCGGCTTCTCCAGCCTGTGGCCCAGGCAGGAGGGGCTCAGGGTCCTCAGAGGACCCAACCCGCTGCAGCTCTCGGCCGAGCCCTTGGCCAGGGCTACATTAGACCTGGCCAGCTGGCGGCCCGTCATGTGGCAGGGGTGAAGGTGCTGTGCGTGTGCCTGGACCTGGGCCCTGGGAGCCCCAGGGAGCTGCCTCCTTCCTGTGGCCACTGGTGTCTGCTTGGAGCCAGGGTCCCCTCCTGCCCTGCCCTGGCCCCCTGCATGAGTCACGCATGGAGCCAGTGAGCATGTGGAGGCTGCACAGTGGCTGCGCCAGCCTAACCCTCTTCCGTTCTTGCAGAAAGAAAACCACAGTCCCCCCCATCTCCCCCCCCATCAGATGCAGGGGTGGCCTCTTGTGACGAGGGTGTGGCCCAGCTGGCTGGTACGGGGCCTGAGGGTGCCCTTGGTGCCCAGGCTGCAAAGCCAGAGTGGGACCTAAGACCTGGCTTTGGGCCTCAGGGTCTTGCCAGCCACACCCTGCATCAACCACCCAGACCCAGCCGGGTCTTGGCAAGAGGTCTTCCTTTCTCTCAGCCACACCTGCTCCCTTCCCTGCTAGCCCTTTCTATTCAGCAGGACAGATGCCAGTCCCGAGGGAGAGGGAGTGGCTGGCCTGTCTCTTTGTCATTAGTGAACTATGGCCTGATTGGACATCCGCGACATCCGCTGAGCTGAATTCTGCATCCTGCACATCCATATGCAAATGTGCCCCTGTGCCCATGCAAGCACACACACAAATGCACACACATGCACACCCATGTGCATGCACAGACACACCCACGTGCACACACACACATGCACACCCACATATAGACCCTCCCTGGTCCAGTGGCTTCATCTGGCCCCCGTGTTTCCTGCTTCGTGTGCCGCCCCCCCAACCCCCGTCCTGTGCATGGGCTGCAGCTCTCTACCTTCTGCTTCTGTTGTTCCACTGCAGACATCTAACTGTCCCCACCAGACCCCGGCTGGGCCGATGGCCTCGGTGGCACATTATGTTGGAGTAAAACTCAGGGCTGGGAGCCAGGTGGGGTGGGGGGCTCTAGAGCGGGTGCTGTGCCCCCAGGCCTGTCAGCATCACGTGACCTCTGGGCCTCTGTGGGGGCTGGGAAGAGGGGGCAGGTTGGACAAAGTGTGGGCAGGGAGCCCCTGGAGAGGGACTGGGGCGACATCCTGGGGAAGCCCACTTCCTTTACTCCTTGGTAATGTGCCAGGCCCGCCGGAGTGGACCGACAGGGAGCAGGACCTGCAGGGCGTCAGGGAGCCCTGAGAGCAGATGGGCTGCACCCATCTGTCCTGGCTCCTGCTGTCCCCGGTTGGCCCCGGGCTGGGCCTGGAGCCTGGATCTGGGGGCCGTGGCCCAGCCCCAGAGGAGAGGGCCCGGCCCCCCACACTCATGCAAACTCATGCCTGGGGGGTCTCTGTTCCCGGTAGAGTGGACCAGATTGTGGGGCGGGGTCCAGCCATCACCGACAAGGACCGAGCCAAGGGCCCAGCGGAGGCGGAGCTGCCTGAGGACCCCAGCATGATGGGCCGGCTTGGGAAGGTGGAGAAACAGGTGGGAGAGGCGAATGAAGCGGTGGGAGGGGAACGGCCGTTGGTGGAAGTGGAGTGTGGGGAGGGGGACACAGCTGAGGGCGGGAGGGGTGCAGATGTGGGCAGGAAGGGTAATAGGGGAGTGGCTGTGGGCGAGAGGGGGGACAGGAGGGTGCAGCTGAGGGTGGGAGGGGTGTGGTTGTGGGCAGTAGGGGCCCCTGACTGTGTGGGGGAGCTGTGGACTGGGGGATCAGAGAGGTGTGACTGTAGATGGGAGAGGTGTGGCTGAAGGTGGGAGGGGTGTGGCTGAGGGCAGGCCCTTCTGTCAGCCAGAGCAGGCTGGGCTCCAGGCTGGATGCGGCAGAAGAGTCCTTGCACTTGGGGATTGGGGCCCTCTCACCATGGAGTCTGCTCTGTTCAGACCCTCAGCCCCACCATGACCCCCCCTCCAGGCTGGGGTGCTTTTCTTCTGATGCCATAGAGGGCCACAGGCCGGGAGGCTGGGTGGGGATCACTGCAGGTAGGATTGCATTTGCGGGTCCCCTGTGGACGTGCTGGAAGTCCCACTTCTGAGCTTTCTGACCTCCTCCTTGCCCACTCCCTGGGTACTCTTTTTGGGGAGTGGGTCCTCAGATGCCATCTCTTGGGACTCTTGTCTCGGAGTCTCTTCTGGGAGCCTGGGATGATCATTCCTTGCCTGGAGTGTTTGCCAAGGGACCCGTGGTGGGCAGCAGGAGGGACCCTGTGGTCTGGTGAGGCTCTGGGAAGGAGGAGGGGTTTCTTCTAGGCTCTCCACCTCCTGCCCTGACCCAGCGGTGGCCTCCTCCCCCTCATCTCCTCAGAGAGTGACCTCCAATCCCTGCCTCCTGGGGGGAGTTCTGGTCCCTCTTCCCCTCCTCCTGGGAGCAGCCCTGGTCCTCCTCATCCTACTGGGAACAGCCCTGATCCTCCCTCTCCTCCTGGGAGCAGCCCTGATCCTCCCCTTCCTGGGAGCTGCCCTGATCCTCTCCCTCCTCCTGGGAGCTGCCCTGGTCCTCTGCCCCTCCTAGAAGAATGTTCACCAGGAAACCCTAGTCTCCCCCTCCTGGGAGATGCCCTGTTCCCCCCTCTCCTCCTGGGAGCAGCCCTGATTCTCCCCCTCCCCCTGGGAGCAGCCCTGGTCTTCCCCCTTCTGGGAGCAGCCCTGATCCTCCCCTTCCTCCTGAGAGCAGCCCTGGTCCTCTCCCTCCTCCTGGAGGTGGCCCTGATCCTCCGCCCCCGGAGGTGGCCCTGGTCCTCCTCCCCTCCTGGGAGTAGCCCTAGTCCTCTCCCTCCTCCTGGAAACAGCCCTGGTCCTCCTTCTTCCCCAGGGAGCAGCCCTGGTCCACCCCTCCTGGGAGAAGCCCTGGCCCTCATCCTCCCCCTGGGAGCTGCTCTGGTCCTCCCCCTCCTCCTGGGAGCAGCCCTGTCCTCCTCTTCGTGGGAGCAGCCTTGTGGCGCCTTCCACCAGCCCCTCCCACAGGTCCTGTCCATGGAGAAGAAGCTGGACTTCCTGGTGAACATTTACACACAGCGCATGGGCATTCCCCCAACGGAGACCGAGGCCTACTTCGGGGCCAAGGAGCCTGAGCCTGCGCCGCCGTACCACAGCCCGGAGGACAGCCGCGAGCAGGGGGACCGCCATGGCTGCATTGTCAAGGTCGTGCGCTCCACCAGCTCTGCTGGCCAGAAGAACTTTGCGGCGCCGCCGGCCGGGCCGCCCGCTCCGTGCCCACCCTCCACCTCATGGCAGTCTCAGGGCCACCCACGAGGCCATGGCGCCTCCCCTGTGGGCGACCCTGGCTCACTAGTGCGCCTCCCGCCACCACCTGCCCACGAGCGTTCACTGTCGGCCTATGGTGGCGGCCACCGCGCCAGCACGGAGTTTCTGCGACTCGATGAGGGCTGCCGGCCCACCGAGGGCGCCCTGAGGGACAGTGACACGTCTATCTCCATCCCATCCGTGGACCACGAGGAGCTGGAACGCTCCTTCAGTGGCTTCAGCATCTCCCAGTCCAAGGAGCAGCTGGACGCCCTCAACAGCTGCTACGCAGCTGTGGCGCCCTGCGCCAAAGTCAGACCTTACATCGCGGAGGGCGAGTCGGACACGGACTCGGACCTCTGCACCCCATGTGGGCCCCCACCGCGCTCAGCCACAGGCGACGGCCCCTTTGGCGATGTGGGCTGGGGCGGGCCCAGAAAGTGAGGTCCGCAGGTTGTTCCGAAGACCCTTTGCCTCCGAGGTGTTGCGGTGGAGACCTCTGGGGCCGTTTGCTTAGAGTGACTAGGGTGCACAGGGCTGGGGGGAGGTGGCCCGGTGAGGCTGTGGGCTGGAGGTAGGGTTCTTGCAGTGACATTTTACAAAAGCTCTTTTTAGACGGGTTGGAGGGCAGGCGGGCCTGGTGATTCAGGAGCACCACACTGCAGTAGGGTCACTCCTGCTCACTCTGCCTGGGTACAGGGCAGACTTTCAGCCCCCCGTGTGAGAGTAAAGCAGAGGTTTGGGGTCAGGAGCAGAGTCCGGGGAAGGGGCAGCAGGGGGCAGACCTGTCCCCATCAGGGTCATCAGACTTGGAGGCCTGGTGGGGCTTGGGGGCAGCCACAAAAGTGTGTCTGACCACTGGGCATGGCTTATCCTTGCACCTGACCAACTGGCCGGTTTGTCACTGGTCCCCGATGCCATCCTTCTTCGTGTGTGGGCACAATGGGGGTGATGCCCCCTCCCCCCCCAGACAGCTGCTGGTCAGCATCTTCTCTCTGTTCCTTTCGGGTTCTGAGGGATCTCTGACAAGAGTTGGTTCGAGGTGGGGACCCTCGCCTGCAGTTGAGGGTGGGGTGAAGCCTCGGGATACACCAGATCCCAGGGTGAGTCTTGGCCCTCCTGGCTTTGGTGTTTCTGGGGAGGGCCTGACTCTCAGGGGCCCGGGCACCAGCTCTGCAGGGTCTTCTGAAAGGGAGTCCCTGGGGGCTTCAGCACCTCACCCTGGGCTCTCCTGGGTGTGTGACAGCCAGCAGCACAAGCCCTTGTCCCTTCTTCTCTCCTTATTATGCTGGCTGGGTGCCAGTCACCAGGCTGTGGCCAGCACTGCAACACCTGCCCAGTGGGTGAGCAGACCTCCCAGTCTTTTCCAGGGCCCCGCCTGGCCTGTCCCCCACCAATGTTCCACAGACTTGGACAGGGCTGAATGATGCTGGGTTTTCAGCTACCTCCTGGCCCCCCCACGGTCAGCAGGGCGTCTCTCCTGGCCTTTCTGAAGGACGCACCTGCCTTGTCCATGCTCCTCCATTGGCCGGTCCCTTGGCTGTGCCCTCCTGGTGTCTTGAGAATTGGGCATGTCCAGCATCCTCTTGTCGTGGGCAGCAAGATCCTCGAGCAACCAGTATAGAGGCAGAGCCAATCCCTGGCCAGTGTCTGGTGTGTGGAGTGGCAGGTGGGGCCTCCCTGGTGAGGGGGTCACGAGGGGCCAGCAGACACAGACACTCTAGAGATCAAGTCCTGAGGGGCCTCAAGTTGTTTCTCATGCTGCATTTAAATCTGCTTTGACAAGGACAGAGCAATCATGGGGCCTATGGTCAGCTAGACCATCTCTAGGTGAGGACTTTGACAGCAGCATTAGAGGGCCACATGCCCCAGGTTGTTGGGGTCCTGGGTGCTGGGGATCTTAGGGGGCCATCGCTGCTGCAGCCTCTGTGCCTGTCCCTTGACCCCTGGCCAGGGATCCCCTGGGTCCCGCCCTCAGGGCATCTCCCACCTGTGGGGCTGACTCTTCCCACTTCCCTGTGCCTGGAGCCACCCTGGGGAGGTGCCAACCAGGTGGACATGGGCTCTGGCGGGAGGCCACGGCCCATACTCACCCGACATGTCCACCTGCATGCGCCTGGTTCTCAAGGGCATTGTTGCTGACTGCAGGCCCTCTGGCAGGAAGCGAGTCCCTTTTAGTGACCGTGGCTCATGTGAAGTGGGCAAGACCTGTGTCCGTCCCCTCACTGCCTCCCCAGGCCAGGGCGAGCCTGGCATTTAGCCCCTTGGCCCTCCCATTCTAGGCCAGGGACAGACGTAGCCGGTCTCAGAGCACCAGCCTGGCCACTGCTCCCCGCAGCCCATGACAGTCAGACTTGCAGCCTGGCTCAACCTCGGCCATCCAGGCTCCAGGACCTTGCTTGGCCCTGTCCCATGGTCTCTGAGCCACTTGCTTCCTCCACATGTGGTCTGCCTTCTTTCCCCCAGAGCAGCTAAGCACTCCTGTGGGTCTGGGAGGCAACGAGCACCAGTATGCACGGGCGGGGCTCTGGGCAGGTAGGGTGGGCCAGGCCCTTCCCTTCCACAAGCCCAGGCAGAGTCTAGACTCATATTCTGTGTCAGCATGGCATATGTGACATGTCCACCGCAAAGTCTCTGCCCCTGGGCAGAGGGAAGACGCGTCTCTGAGGGATGGTTTGGGGCACCAGACTTGGCCTGGGCAGGGCCACCCTGGGTCCTCCTCCAGAGAAGGAAAGGAGGATGCTGGGCCTGCGCCGTGGTTTCACGCTTTCCAAGACAAGATGTCTGTTAGAGCACACGCTCCACGAGCCCACGGCTCACACACATGCTCACACATCCTGCATCCATGTGCACACATGGATACCCACACACACACACACACAAGTGCATAGATCACACAGGGCACACACATACTTACACACATGCATGCATACACACAAGCTCATGCACGTACAAGCATACACACACATGTGTGGACAGCACACACACCCCCATGCACACACGCCCTCACTTGTGTGCACATGCTCCCCGCTTCCCATGTCACAGCCGTTCCGTGCCTCTGGTTTTTCCCTCCTGCCTCTGTTGGATTTAAGCCGCCCAGAGAGGAAGCCATGAGAAGTAACTCTGGGGGTTGCAGATGGTTCTGGAATGTTGAACCTGGGTGGGGTCCACTGTCCCAGGCTCGTGGGCCACAGTGACAGAGGGTCAGTTAGCCCAGCTGGGGTCCCAGCTGCCTTTGCCTTCACACTGGGTGGCTTCCAGGTCATGGGGTCACTGAAGGTCAAGGGCTGGATGTTCACGTGGACGTCTGCGTGGACCTGTGTTCTGCCAGCCTGGAGGTGTGGCCAGCTCCCTGGGCTCTCCTTAGCCACATGGCCCAGCCTCCCTGCCAGGCCCTGCACCAGGTGGGTGCCACTGTCCGTGTTCATTTCCTGGCCTCGCATTCCCTTCTCCTGTCCTTACAAAGTTGCCATCTTAGAGTCTTCCCTGCTGCCACCACAGCTGGGACACCCTGGGGGCTGCCCCCCCTCTGGACCCACTATCTGAGCAGGGCTAGGTACAAGGCCTTCCCATGGGAGACAGGGCCACCTCTCAGAGACACCCCCTTGTGGGCCTCACACCCCATTTGGAGGCTGGGCGGTTGCCTGGGCCCTGGAGGGCTTCTTTGCAGGGACCTGCTGGGCCATGGTCCAATCACCAAGCCCCACCCAGAGGCACATCCCCAGCCAGGCGTCTGCATGTTTTCATTCTTACATCTCAGTCTGTGTTGAGATGGCCTTCTCCCTGCACTGGCCGAGGCCTGGGTCCTGGTGCAAGACACTGCTCTGGGAGGGAAGGAAGGGCGTGCCCTATCTTCTGCCAGACCCAGCTGGGCTCAGCCTCTACATTTGGGAGACTCCATGCAAGGAGCACTCCGTTCTCCATGGAAAGGCCCTGAGACGCTTCTAGATGCTTTGCAGCTACCAGAAGGAGCCATGGGAGCTGGGATGCCTCTGTGGAGACCCTGGTGTGTTTCCACCTTACTCCAACTGTGAACATCACCCAGAGTGGAGGCTGCGGGTATCTTCCCCTGGACCCTGTGCTGCAAGGCCAGAAGGATGACACAGACCCTGAAAGCAAATGTGGATCGGCCTGGAGGGTATCAGCACCTGGTCTCCCAGCAGGGGGCCCCACAAACGCTCCCATGGGCCCTCAGGGTCTGTGGTCCTCTGGTAGCCCTCAGCCCTGGTGTGAACAGGCCTGCCCTCTGACCCCACCCAGCCCCCTTGTGAACCTCCCTGGCCAGCTGTGTGAATGTCTGGAATGTAGGAGGGTGAGGCCAAGGCCTGTAGGGGCTGTATGGCTGTACCAGGCCTGCTGTCCTGCATTTTCACCTGCAGACAGACTCCATCTGGCCCCAACCGAGTACTAAGGAGTAGGAGAGTCAACCATGGGGACTTCCTGGAGGAGACAGGGTCAAGGGAATGACCCAAGTTCCTTTTCCCTCTCCGGAGACCTGGAAAGACAGTGATACCTGGCAAGGGGTCTCTGTGTCCCCTGGGGTGTGGTGAATGGAGCCACAGTCAGCTGAACTTTGCTGTCTCGTGGGATGGGGCTGATATTGGAGGGTCTTCAGGAGTCAGGGTGGAGAAGGTGGGAAGGATAGGCCTCCCTGGGACCCGAGAGCCTTCCTGCCAGTCTTAGGCATCTGCGGGACCAGGTAGGGTGAGGAGCTCTGGTCTTGGACACTTGCCTTGGGGGCCCAAGAACCAAGGGTGCTGGATCTGACCCATCCTGAGAGGTCCCGAATGACCCTCAGTCAGGTGCCAGCAGGGAGGGGACGGTCGCCAGGGTGCCCAGGCAGGCCTGTGCACGTCGCTACATGCCACACACCCGACTCCAACCGGGTCTCACAAAGTCGTTGCCTTAATGCAGTGGACAGAAGCTACCAAGGTCCCCCTGCCCCAGCCCTGCCAGGCACGGACATCTGGACCTTGCCACTGGGCTAGGCTGGGTCAGGTCGGTAAGGACCTGAGGGCCAAGCTCCTGAGACTGTGTGGGGCAGGAGGGGCCTCACACCAGGCACTGGAGCCAGCCGCACCTTGGGATGCCACCTGCCCAGGATCGGTGTGGCCCATGCCCACCACGCTGCCCACACACCTGCCGTACGCCACCACAGCTTGCCCTCCAACCGAGACGGCAGCTCAGCTTCTCCACCTGCACGGTGGCTGCTGGCTGTCTGCACTTTCGTTCATGCTCCAAAGAATCTTTCATAATGCCTTCAGTCCCGATGCCCACTTCCTGCCTCGTGTGTGTCCCTGTGCCGTAGTGACCAGGCCTTCTGGTGGACGTGTGACCCGCACACTTCATCTCGACTTGTGCACCGTCGTTTTCTAGGGATAGACGCCCAGGGAATGAACTCTCATTTTCTAATGGATTAGCCAAGATGCTCACTTGCTCTCCACTGACAGGTTGATGTGAAGGGCAGGCCAGAGAGCTCGGGCATGGAGTTCCATGGCGGGGATGTCTGTGGAGAGTAGTTCTGCTGCCCCGGGGGCGAGTTGGATGCCCGGTGGACTTGTGCACTCAGTAAAACGCAGAGATTCAACCTGCATGTTGTGTGGCCTCTTCACTGTCGCCGGCTGTCTCTGGGCAGCCGGTCAGGGGCTAGGATCCAGGTGGGCAGGGACAGGTCTGCCCAGACCCCCTGGGCCCACGGGTCCTCAGGCCCTCCTCGGCTATGGGCTGGTTTCCCAGGGCCAGTATCACAGTACCATCGGCCAGGTGCCTCCAGACCTCAGAGATTTCCCCCGTTCTGGAACCCTGAGTCTGTCAGCCCTGACACCCACCCGCACCTGGACATATCATGAAGGCTCCTGCCTGGGACCCTGGACACACAAGTGAGGATGCAGCTGCACCATCAGGAGCAGTGGAGCCTGGGGTGGGGCCCATCAAGCTCCCCTGGGCCCTGGGTTTTGGGCGTGGGGTCTGAGCCCACATGTGGTCCACACATCCTGCCTGGGTCTGTCGCTGTTCCAGCCACCACTGCAGTCCTTGAGCACCTGCTGGTCAATCTCCCCAGCGCCCCCCGACCCCGTCTCTTCCTCCCTTGCAGGCCTAGGGGAGGATTGATAGGCGCTTGGCTTGTCTCCCCTCTGGAGAGTCCCAGTGAGGGCCTGGCTGAGCCCGCCCCTCCGGCATCTTCTAGCCCGCAGGGCCTCCCTGAGCTTCTGGGGTCAACTGAGCAGGAAAGAAGGCTCTGCCAGGCTTAGTGGTCCTGGAAGCCATGAGCAGAGTCCAGACCTGCTGCCTCCACCGGGGTCAAGGCCCACTGCTGCGCACCCCTCAGCCCTCTTCCCAGAGGCCCTGGCTGTGCAATGTGAGGTCAGGGAGGGGTCCAGCCTTCATCCTCAAGACTTCAGAAAGTTCTGAACTGTGGTGTCTTGGGTTTCACGAAGGACCAGCTGGGCTCTAGGATCATCACAGGCATGTCCAGGGCCACGAGGCTCGAGGTACCTTGGCTTGCCCAGGCAGGATGATGACCACAAAGCAACCACTGGGCGCCTCCCATCTTGGCCTGGTCCCCTGTCCACATGCCTGTCTTCCTCTCCCCCAAATCTTCCTCCCTCCTGCCATTTCCTGCCACCTCCCACCCAGAGAAGTCCCCAGGTTCCCCTGTCTCAGGGCCCCACCCCATTGGGGAGCTCTGTGGTGATGTCACGCCCCAGGAGACTGACGGGTGATGAGTCTCCTTGGGAGCTCTCTGCTCCTCAGGCACAGACACAGCTCTTCTAGCAGTGACTCAAATCCACCCTGGCAGCTGAGCACGTCCTCCCTCACCTGGATGTCTTCTTAAGGGGATACATTTGCAGGAGCCCCCCAAGTGCCCAGGCTGAACAGCCATGGGGACCCAGGGACAAGGAAGGGTCTAGAGGGGTGGGAGGGGGGCTGTGGTCAAGGGTGCAGGACAGTGGCGTGCCATGGGTAGGGTGGGAGGACACCAGTGACTCTGGTGGGCTCCGGGAGTCACTTGCCAGGGGCCGGAGGTGAGCGCACAGTCCACCCAGTACCGGCCAGCGGTCAAGGGCCCCATTGCCCTCGGACCCCTGCTGCAGCCAGGTCTGAGATGACCACCAGGTGGCAGCACTCACCTGAGGAGGCCCCAGGCAGCCCACCAGCCCTGCACCCGCTTGGACCCACAGCCAAGTCCAAA